AGACATGTTAACAGACTTTTCCAGTAGCTGTACTGGCCGCAAATGCATCCCAAGTCCTCAGGGCAAATTAATCATTTAAAAAAGCTTGCTTTTAAACCATGTTTTATATTTACAAAGGTACGCTCACCAGAGATCCCTTCCATGGCTTCATGGTCTGGGATAATGCCTTGGGAGTGTTGGGAGGGTACTTCAGTCAGGCTGAGAAAAAGATCCTGGCTGTTAGGGAGAACAGAGTGCTGTGTGCTCTCCGCAAGCTCGTCGTCGTCGTCCTCCTCATCATCTTCCCCGTCCGCAGAATCCTCAGGCATGGCTGAGATTACCCCCTCCTCGGAATCCACGGTCAGGGGTGGGGTAGTGGTGGCGGCCCCCTCTAGAATTGCATGCAGCTCAGTGTAGAAGCGGCATGTCTGTGGCTCTGACCCAGACCTGCCGTTTGCTTCTTTGGTATGCTTGTCTGAGCTCCTTAACTTTCACGCGGCACTGATATGAGTCCCTATTGTGGCCTCTCTCCATCATGCCCTTGGAGATTTTTTCAAATGTTTTGGCATTTCATCTTTTGGAACGTAGTTCTGCTAGCACGGAATCTTCTCCCCATATAGCGATCAGATCCAGTACCTCCCGTATGGTCCATGCTGGTGCTCTTTTTCGATTCTCGGACTGCATGGTTACCTGTGCTGATGAGCTCTGCGTGGTTACCTGTGCTCTCCATGCTGGGCAAACAGGAAATTAAATTCAAAAGTTCACGGGGCTTTTCCTGTCTGGCCAGTGCATCCAAATTCAGATTGCTGTCCAGAGCGGTCACAATGGTGCACTGTGGGATAGCTTCCTGAGGCCAATACCGTTGAATTGCAGCCACACTAACCCTAATTCGAAATAGCAATACCAATTTCAGCGCTACTCCCCTTGTCGGGGAGGAGTACAGAAATCGATTTTAAGAGCCCTTTATGTCGAAGTAAATGGCTTTGTTGTGTGGATGGGTGCAGGGTTAATTCGATTTAACGCTGCTAAATTCGAACTAAACTCATAGTGTAGACCAGGCCTTAAGGTAATAAGTTGCTAGGTACTGTCTCTTTAAGGGAATAACAAATAAATAACTTCTCTAAGCATTCAGCAAGACAGCTGACACTACTGGGCAGATGATTTAGGGGAAATTTGGAACTGGGAAGTTGTGACGTTCCCCTCTGGCGTTATCTGGACCAGTGATCTGATAGGTCACTCCAATCCTTGACTCTGGGAGCCAGCCTTACCCTGCTCTGCTGTGAGAACCCCCTCTCCTGGGCTGTTCACGTACAGCTTCTGGCATATAAACTGCTCCCTGGTACTTGCAACCGAATGACACTATCCTAGGAACCTCTGTCTTGCAGTGTCCAGTTATGCCTGGCACTCTAGTTGTCTCCAGTGTCTGAAACACTCACATCCCGTTGAAGTGTAAAGTCTGCGTGGGGTTCAAAGGCAGGTCTTGTAAAGATAGAGAGGTTAGGTTGAAGCTCCTCTTAGTGGAACACTCCCTAGTCCAGTAGGGGCCACTCACTTGCACCCCCAAACATTGGCCTCAATCTCTCAGGCTACTCTGCTGACTTCTGGAGCCTCAGAGGTGGTTCCAGAGATGAAGAACTCTAAAAGGAAGAAGCCCGTCTCATCTACCAGAGACTCTAGAAAGTGGGATACGTCACCTCATCGAGCTGACTCTTGGGACCCATTATGGGATGTGAGGTTTCCCACTGAGGCTCCAGCTGATGCCAGTACCGAAGTTTTTGTACCACCTAAGAAGTCCTAACCAGAGAAGCCTTCAGCTAAGCAGCACCAAGAAGCCCCTATCTCAGTAGCATCTAATCTTTTGGCACCAAGATGCATCTAAAACTGGAGACCATCCAGACTGGCACTTGGCTCCCGCCCCCCCCGCCCAGTACAATCCTTGGAGCATCAATGCTCCAAGCTCAGAGTCTTGGACTCATCAGCAGCTCCAGTAGCACATGCAGCATCTACTGCAGCTCTGCACTGATCCTCATTCCAGGTCCCTTTACCAATTCAGGCTAGAACTGTAAGCTACCATAGTTCTCCAGCACCCTTCAGATTCTTTTCCCCTGAGGATAACCTCATCTTGGAGGAACCAGAGTCCTTTCTTCTAAGGAGCACCACAAGGGCCCCTTCTTCTTTGAGTGATTGCTCATGTGTATTCCACAGTAGGTGTGCATGCTCGCCACGTGCACCGGTGCCGGAAGTTTTTCCCCTAGCAGTACCCGTAGGGGGAGAGCGCCCGCTGCGACACCTGGAGTGGCGCTTGCCTGGCGCGGTATAAGGGGAGCTGTGTGCTCCCCCACCCTCAATTCTTTCTTGCCGCCAGTGAAGGTGGGTTGGAACAGCCCTGCTCCAGCTTCGCTGTAGCTTGTCCCCAGAACTGTTCGTTTGTTTAGTACCTGTAGTTAGTTAGCGGAGTAGTTAGTTTTAGTTAGTCAGCGAGCCCGGGCTGGGGCATGCCCCGAGCCCGGGCTGGGGCATGCCCCGAGCCCTGGGATTTAAGTCGTGCGGTTCTTGTCAGCATTCTATGCCAAGAAGCGACCTGCACACAAACTGTTTGTGCTGTTTGGGAGAAACCCATATCAGCGAAAGGTGCAAAATTTGCAAATCGTTTAAGCCCCGGACTGAAAGGGAATGAGACATTAGGCTCCAGGCCATTCTGATGGCGTCGGCGCTGACCCCGGCACGCTGCTCCGAGCCGGTACCGCGCACCGTGGTGTTGGTACGCGGCAATCAGCCGGCGCCATCGACCAGTCAGCGCCACTCCCTGTCCACGGGACACGCCAAGAGGACCAAGATGACTCCCCCCTCGCAACGGCACCGAGGGAAGTCTGGGAAAGAGGCTAGGCCCATGTCAGGCAGTCCTCGATCCCAATCGGGTCCCAGTCCTCCGACTCACGTAGAGCGGAGTAGCTCGGCCCCTTCAGAACAGGCCTCTCTGGATGTCCAGATGCCTTCCACACTTGAAGCCCTCCAGGCGGCCCAGGACGTCATGTCCATGCTGGTGCCCTGGGCTCCACCAAGCTCGGCCCCGTGCTCCAGAGGCAAGCCGCAGCTGGGATCTCCGCAATCGCCCCCAGCTCGGTACTGGTCTCGTTCAAGGGAATGTTACCACCCAGTGTCCGCTCGGGGCAGAGTCCACATGGATCACCCCTGACGCCGACTAGACTGTCGGGCTGGGTTCGGTCCGTCTGGGACTTGTGGCACCGGTCCTCCTCAGAGAGCAGATATCGATGGGACTGCAGAGGACATAGTCGTCGGTCTTGTCCCGGAGAGGGTACCGCAGTCAGTCACGGCACGATCATCGACACCGTTCCCGCTTGGACTCCCGCTCCGAGTGTCGATCGCCAGCATCTCACCGTCACGGGTCCGTCCGTCAAGGCCATTCGCAGAGCAGCTATTACCTCGGCACCGGTCCTCCACATCGAGATCGCAGTCCTGTGACCATTGCAGATCCTGGCACCGCCGCTCCTCTCAGTCGAGAGATAGCAGCGGATCCTACGCCATCCAGGTCTCCATTCATAGTTGCCCTTCAACGAACCAGACCGGCCAACCCATACAGCCGGCTCTGCCAGTGCCACAGCAAGTGCAGCGGCACCGAGTGTTGTGGCCAGCCTAGTGATACCAGTGGGCACAGTGGCCTCCGGCACAGCTGCTGGTGGGAGCTCGCTCAGTGGGTGGAGCTTTGGAGGCGCCGTCGGCCTCCATCTCCAGACCCCCAACAAAGGAGTCGGTGGGACGCACGTCCTCGGCACCGTGCCCGGAGTCCGACCAGGTGGTGGATCCTCCGGTGCCAGATGATACCCTGAGCACCGTGCCAGCCTCTTCACCCTGCCCGGATGAGGCGATTGCAGCCCCGCCCCCTCCATCCCGCAGGAGGACGTCAGGGCCCACCAAAACCTCTTAAAGTGGGTAGCAGCAAGCCTCTACCTCCAGGCAGAGGAGATGGAAGAGCCCGCAGGCTCCCTGTTCAACGTGTTGTCCCCATCAGCACCGGGTAGGGTGGTCTGGCCAAGCCATGAAGGGGTGGCTAAGATTTCGAATACCCTGTGGCAAACACCGGCCTCATTGGCCCCTATATCAAAAAAGGCTGAGTGAAAGTACTTCATACTCGCTAAGGGGCATGAGTACCTATGTACCCAACTCCCTGGTGGTCGAGTTGGTCAACCACTGGGAACAACAAGGTCAGCCAGACCCGACCCCAAAGAACAAAGACTCTCGGAGACTGGACTCTTTCGGTAGGAAAATTTATTAGTCTTCGAGCTTCCAGTTACGAGTGGCAAACCATCAGGCTCTCCTGGGCCGGTACAAATTCAGTCTGTGGGGCTCCCTGCCCAAGTTTGAGGACTCCCTCCAGGAGCGTGATAAGGAGTTCAGGACGCTCGTGGAGGAAGGGACATCGGCAGCTCAAGCTTCCCTGCAGGCTGCCTCAGATGCTGCGGACACGGCTGCGCGGTCGATGGCCTCAGCAGTGTCCTTGAGACGGGCGTCATAGCTCTTGCTCTCTGGGATGTCCAGTGAGGCGCAGTCTTCCATGCAGGACCTCCCATTTGATGGGAAAGCTCTGTTTGCAGAGGAAATAGATACAAGGCTGCATAGCATGAAGGACTCCCGCATGACCCTCCAGACACTGGGTCTATATGTCCCGGCTCCGGCAAAACCTAAATTTAAGCTGCAGCAGACTTCTACCCTGGCTGCCCTCCTAAAGTAAAAGGACGCCCATAAGAAGCAGTGGGACTATAAGAGATGCCCTCATAGGCAGTCTTGACCTGCCCCCCAGCCTGGACCCTCTAAGGGCAAACAGGCAGGGAAAAGGCATTTTTGATGGGACGCTTGGGGGCATCCCGCCAGTCCTCGTCATGGATCCAACCCCAATAAAGCTTCCCTTTGCCAACCAATTGTGTGCTTTCCTCCTGGAATGGTCGTGGATCACCTCGGACCAATGGGTCCTCAACACCGTCTCCCAGGGTTACACCCTCCAGTTTACCTCCTCCCCGCCCAACCACCCCCCCACCCCGTCCCTCCTGAGGGACCCCTCACACAAAGCCCTGCTCAAGCAGGATGTGGGGCGGCTCCTGGAACTAGGAGCGATAGAGGCGGTGCCCAAGGAGTTCACAGGCAAGGGGTACTACTCCTGTTACTTTCTTATCCCGAAGGCCAAAGGGGGGCTCAGACCCGTACTGGACCTACGGGGCCTAAACCAGCACATGGTGAAGCTCAAATTCCGCATGGTCTCCCTGGCCTCCATCATCCCCTCCCTGGATCCCGGGGACTGGTATGCTGCCCTTGATCTACAGGACGCGTACTTCCACATCCACATATTCGAGGGGCACAGGTGCTTCCTCCGGTTTGTGGTAGGACACAATCATTACCTATGTCCTATTCCAGCACTTCAGGATGGTAACGCTAGCCACCATAATCTCATCCCCAGATCCAGGGGATTGGTTTGTCTCCTTCAACCTCCAGGACATCTACTTTCATATTGCTAGTGTCCTCTCCCAAACACTTTCTATGCTTTGTCATAGGCTCGGAATATTACCAATATTTGTTCTCCCCTTTGGGCGCTCTGTGGTAAGGGTTTTCATGAAGGTCCTCTCATGGGTAGTGGCTCACTTGCATCAGTGGGGCATCACAGTCTTTCCATATCTGGATGGCTCACTCCTCTGGGGCTGCTCCACCCAGTAGACTCAGCCAGCAACCACCAAGGCCCTAGCCCTATTTCAGTCCCTGGGCTTTCGCATCAATCTAAGGAAGTCTACACTAATCCCAGTCCAGTGGATAGACTTCATCAGAGCCACACTAGACTCCCCATCCACCAGGCTCATCTCCCCAAGGAAAGATTCCTCACTATGACCAGCCTGATCTCTACTCTAAAGCACAGCCCTCAAACAACTGCAAGGACCTGGCTAGAACTCCTGGGCCACATGTTGTCATCCATATTTGTTACACCGCATGTGAGACTGCGCCTCAGATGTCTTCAGGCTGGGGTAAGGACTATGTAGACCCCAAATAGGCAGGGCCTTTCCAAACTAATCACAGAGCCTCAACTGGTACTAGACTCTCTCAGGTAGTGGAAAGACCCACTGAAGGTTTGGGTGGGAGCCCATTCTCACATCCTCCAACTTCAAAAATTCTCATGACAGATGCCTCTCTTCAGGGTGGGTGGGCCAGTCAACAAGAGGTCACAGCAGATGGCAAATGGTCCCCCAAAAGAGACTGTTCCATAACAGCATCCTAGAACTAATGGCAGTCCACTACACCTGTCAGCACTTCCTTCATGACATACAGGGCCACTCTGGCTGGACAACGAGGAAGCTATGTACTACATAAACTGTCAAAAGGGAGCAAGATCTTTCAGTCCTATGCATAGAGTCACTGAGAGTGAGACTATGGAACTCATGCATCCCTCATCACATTGATCATCTACCCAGCTTTCAGAACACAATTATGGATTGCAAGAGCAGGCACTTCCATCAGGACCACGAGTGGAGCTCAATGACTATCCCCAGAGCATCTACCAAACCCGGAGCCTCACACATGTATACCTCTTTGCAACATCAACCAATGAGAAACAGTTAAACTATTCTGCTAACATTCAGTCAGTTCTCTGCTCCAACTGAGGATGTGGCTACAACTCCTCAGGAGATGTTCCGCTAATATCCTGGCTCCGCTCTACACGTACCCACCTATACCTCTAATCTTCAAAACTGTGCTTAGACTGAGACAAGGAGCAAGTGTTAACCTCATAGCAGCTTAATGGCCAAAAAAAGTGCAGTAGCTGGACCTCCTTCACCTCTATGTGGCAAAACCTTCTCAGTCATCCCTTCAGGCACCCTGAACCATCCCAGCTCCTCAGAAGCCCTCGGGCACAGATTTAAACATTCGGTCCGTTCTCTTGTCCAGACGGAAATGTTCTATTGTGGGTAAGTTTTGCGACCCCAAACCGTCCATGGGTGTGGGGGCTGGCGGAGGCCACGGGGGAGGTGACAGCTCAGCCGCAGCTGGACCGCATTGCCTGGCGCTCAAGGCCGGCCTGGCTGCAGCCCGAGGGCCCAGGCGGGGGCCTAGCCAGGGCCTGCGGCCCCCAGTCACTGTGAGGCTGAGAGAAAGGCCCCGCTCGCACCGGCCTCGCCCTGAGTTCTGGCGCGCGCCTCGCAACGGCTCCCTGAGGCAGCCCCTCTCCCAGCGGGGCGGGGCTAGGGGGAGGAGGGAAGGGAGGGGCTCAAGCCCTGCCCCTGCTCTAGGCCCCGCCTCCTCCAGCCCGGTACAGGGCCGAGCCTGACCTGTCCCCGCCACTCGGCATCCTGCGCGTCTGTGGCCAGATTACGCTCTTCCCCAGGCTGCTAGTAGTTAGTGGCTATGTCCATCAAGGTAATACCATGACGTCTAGAGTCGGTTCTGGCAGACGATTGGGCGATATATCTACCCTTCTGTGTAGTCCCGTGCGCTGATTGGCTGGTATGGGTGTGGGCGGGGCTATCCGCGGGCACTGCTCCATCCGCCGTGACAGCAGGAGGGAGGCAGTAGGCGGCGCCCGGCGGCCGCTGGAGCCGGGATATGGGGCGGCCCAGGCCCCACTGAGATTCAGCCTGGGGCACCGGGACCGGCAGGTAGTCGTGCCCGGCGGGCGTCGTGTGATAGGCCCTGGGTGCTACTGGGACGGTGAGGGGGACCTACAGGCGGGCTGTGCGTGACTGCGATGGGCGGAGGGAGCTGGGGTGACTGGGATGGGGGGAGAGCTGAGGGGAGCCTGGGGATGGGTGATTGGAGCTGAGGGGGACCTGGCATGGGTGGGGAGCGGAGGGGATTCTGGGGAGCAGGGGAAGGAATGACAGGGATCGGGGGGAAGGAGCTGAGGGAAGCCTGGGGGACAGGGAAAGCAGGGGTGGAGTCCTCCTGGGTGGAACTGAGCGGGATCTGGGGGCATAGGGAGATAACATCTGCCCTCATAGGAAGAGGGCTTGCCTCTGCTCGGGACCATCTTCCCTGCGTAGTTAGGAAATAGTGGTGGCAAGGGCTAGCTGGAGGAGGGCTGGTCTCAGGGGCTCTGGAGCCCCAAACTGGTGCTGGAGAAGCTACTCCCATTCCACACACTGCCTGATGTGCTGTGCTGGCCCAGGGTAGCTGGGAGAGACAATGTCAAGTCAGTTTGTGTCTAAGCTAGATACTTCTTGCCCTGAACCCCCCTAGGCTGAGGCAGGTTCTCTGGGGCAAGGGACAGGAGCTGGTTGTGCCAGCATTGCCCTGAGGCTGCTAGGCTGTCGGTCTGTCCAGTTGCCCAGTGAAATTTGGGATTCCTATCTGCCTGTTAAATTGTTGCTTTCTAGCTGTAGTTGTTCCCCCATCCATTTCAGGTTTTGGTCTTTTGTCTTTAATGCTGACAATGGTACTTGGTCTGATTTTAACGTGCCCACCTTTGCCACGCTGGATAAGCTTTCACACCTTTCCTCTTCCAAACATCTGCAAAGTAAATAGTGGGATGTCTTAAGTATATTTAGTTCCATGATTAAAATATGTAATATAATAATGCTTAGCTCTTAATTTCCTTTTTCATTAGCTCTCAAAGCACTTTACAGTCCTTAATGTATTTCTCCTACCAATACCCCTGTGAGGTAGGGAAGTAAAAGCCATAGGTTTCTCCAAGCTTCACATTTAGATTAGACCTTTTGATCTCTGTCATCCAGTGTTGTGTTGTCTTTCTGGTTTTTTGTTTGTTTGTTTTTATTCTAGGACAGATGGGGGGTAGGACCTTCTTTTTTTAGCACTCTGTGAACTCCAGAATAGTCAGAATTCAATTGAGTGCTCTCACAAACTTCTCTGGGGTTCTGTCACCAAATACAGTAAGATTCATCTTGAGTTCTCCATAGTGGACTCTGCTCTTCAGCTCTAGTCTGGGGTCAGTGTGAGCAAGCTTCCCTTTGTCCAGGTGTTGATTTCACATAGGCAGTGTGACACCTGGTAGTGTCCAGTCAATAAAGTTTGCTGAGGAGATGCAAGGCTGGGTGGTGTTGGTATGTTGTTGGCAATTGAGCCTATGTTACTTGCAACTTATCCATGAGTTCTCATATTGAAGGGAAAGAGGCAGGAGCAGCACTGATATCTGCAGATCTGTGCATGTGAATGCTCTTGAGGTTGGGGAGCAGCTATGCTCTCAGGCCAGTTCAGGAGAAATTATTGCATCAATGACCATGCTGCACCATCCACTCAGGATAGGTCTTGTAAGGTCAGCAGTATCTTGTAATTGACTACCTTGAACACTGCAAAGAGACTGAATAGTATCAGTGCTGAGGTTTGTTCTTTTTCAGTTGCCATAAAGAGGTTGTTGACTAGTTAGGGCTTGTCTCTGTGTCACATCATGGATTGAAACCTGATTGTGGAGAGTCCATGTCAGCATGGCTCAATGGGGAAGGTTGGAGACAGGGAAGTGTGGAGACAGGATTGGCTTCTTAAGACCTTGTGGACTGTTGCATTCTCCAGGGGCCTGGTAGGTTGCCTTCTCTAAAGGAGTTGTAATTTCCATTGTATGGCTCCATTGTTGTTCACTGACCTTCCTACTTAGAAGAGGCAAGGATCTCCTTCAGAAATAGTGTCCAGATGTGTTTCAGAGCAACCTAATATATGTATATGTATAGTGGTACTGAGTTCATTCAGAATTGTCAGGATGGATATTGCTCTATATCCTGGTCTGATCCTCTTATCTTGTCCTCCAAAATCTCAGATTTAAAAAATCCAACCCCCTGAGCGATGTAGTTAAGACTTTGTCTACACTAGCGCTTTTGTCGGCAAATCTTTTGTTGGTTGGGGGTGTGGAAAAAAAAACGCCCCGATCAACAAGTTTCAAGGGGCCAGCAAAGCGCATGGGTGTATTGAAGCCTGGCCAAAGAAGAATCCAGTTTAAGGAGTCCAGGGGAGCTCAGAGAGCAGCACAATCATATTTTAGCATTTGCTCACTTTATACTGAGTGGTGTCTTATTTTGGCATCTCGGATGGGCAGAGCTTGGAAGAAGACTGCCACACTTTAACTTATGTTGCTCAGGGGTGTGGAATTTTCACTCCCCTGAGAGACCTAGCTAAGCTAATGTAACTTTTCAGTGTAGCCCACCACTTTTCTCAAATAAAATCTGAGATTCTGGAGGACAATTTAATATTAGGGGGGACATAACAGTTTTCAAGTATATAAAAGGTTGTTACAAGGAGGAGGGTAAAAAATTTTCCCCCTTAACCTCTCAGGATAGGACAGGAAGCAGTGGTCTTAAATTGCAGCAAGGGAGGTTTAGGTTGGATGGTAGGAAAAACTTCCTAACTGTCAGGGTAGTTAAGCACTGGAACAAATGGTCGAGGGAGGTTGTGGAATCTCCGTCATGGGAGGCTTTTAAGATCAGGTTAGACAAACTCCTGTCAGGAATGGTCTATTATTACTTAGTCCTGCCTTGAGTGTAGGGGATTGGACTAGATGATCTGTTGAGGTCCCTTCCAGTCCTACACGTCTATGATTCTATGCTTGTTGTAATGAGCATTTTATTGAAAACAAACATTGGGACCTCTTGTGTTGTAGACCACATGCTGGAAGACTTATCTGCTAGAAAAGACAGTTGAGCCCGCAGTGGTGTGTAGTCTAGCAATCTGAACAGAGAGTTGGAAATCCTGGGGTTCTGTCACTGACTTAGCCCTCTGTGGCTCAGTCTTCTCATATGCAAAAAAGGGTCATCTACCACTTGGGCTGTTCAGAAACTTAATGTTTGTGGTCTTCAGAAAAGTGATACAAGTGCAAAGTATTGTGACTGACGATAATCTACTACTTGTTAGTATAACTGTGTAGTCAGGCAATCTCCCTTCCTTAAGCTTTAACTATGAATCAAGTGGACTCCTTCCCCCCCCCCCCCCACACAAATCTTTCATGTAAACATCCTACAGAGAGGGGCACTTATGACCAAATGCTGTTAGCCTCTTGTAGGGAAATGGAGATTACATGTTTTTGTTCAAAATGTAGCTTTTCCAGAATTATCATAATTCTAACAATTTTTAGCCCCTCCTAGGAAGTTTTATGTTACACTTCTTCAGCAGTGTATGAACTCTTAAAATCTGGGCCCTCATACACACCATGTTTAACACCAGGTTAATTAGCTTAGCTTTTGAAAACAAGAATCAAACATTCTGTAACCTACACTATATTTTTAAGCATATCTAGGGCCTACTCCTTAAAAGTGTTGAGAATCTTCAATTCCCATTGAAGTCAGTGGGAGTTGAGGGTGCTCATCTCTTTCCAGGAGGCTTTCAGCACATTACACAAGTGGGCTCTTAATGATTTAACGTTGATACTATATGTAACAAAGGTTTTGGAAGATAGTATAACATCCTCCTCTTCTTTTTCAGTCTGGTGTCACTGCATCATACTCATTTTTTGAACAAAGAAAGAACTTGGAAACTCATTCTTTGTTCTTTAATTTATGCAGACATAAATATTATGTTTGTATTTGAAAGGATTTTTCTTATAATTGGTTTTGTATGCCTGTTGTCTCCTCTTGTCTTTGTGGACTCATACTGAATCTCATTTGTCAGACTGTGTTGCTGTTGACTAATTGGTCAAGCTTACGAAAGTGCAGAAACACACATGCTTGTTTGTAGAACTACCTGTCACGGCTCAGTTTCGCCTTCCTCTGCAACATAGGACACGGTCACTTGCAGGTTTAGACTAGTGTAAATGGCAGATTTTCTGTAGCTTGAAGTCTTTAAACCACGATTTGAGGACTTCAGTAACTCAGACAGAGGTTATAAGTCTATTACAGGAGTGGGCAGGTGAGGTTCTGTGCCTTGCAATGTGCAGGAGGTCAGACTAGATGATCATGATGGTCCCTTCTGACCTTAAAGTCTGAGTACAATTGCACCTATGTTCCCCCTATTGTGGTCCCTGGAGGGCTCCCAGCTTCTCAGCCATCACCTCTCTTGGGCAGAGACATCTCTCTCTTGCTCTCTCCTGACAAAGGTATTTCCAGGCTGCACAGTTCCCTGCCTAGATTGTAATTTCCCCAGCAAGCCAGACTGCTTAAACAATCCAGCATCTATGCCTTGCTTTCTGTCTGAAGGCTATGATCAGCTTTAGCTGCCAGCATCACAAGTTACCATACAGCTCTTTGTAAGCAATCACATTTATTCTTAAAATGAAAGCATTGCAGTGAAAACCTATTAAAAACACTAAAAGAAACCACACCGATGTTCATAAATTTACCAGAGATTATCCCCCAACTCCATCAAGGGCTCTGTTAGGCGTCAGTCCTTC